ACAGTTAGAGAAATATGTTTACTTTATAAGAATTTAATTACACTATATATTATTTCTTAACATGTAACAGAATTCTCATGTTAAGAGTGATTGAGAAACTAATAGATTATTTTTTCTTAGAAAGCTTTTTCTTAATGGATTGTTTTCTGTTTACATTTCTATGGGATAAATACATGCCCAGTATATAATTTTACATATTTTTGTGTAGCTTATATTAACAACTGCTCCAATTCAAAATTATTTGCATTCTAGAAATATATATATACTTACCATTCCTTAAGACAGAAAGACAATAACAGGTTTCATACTCTAAGATTAAAAGTAAATACACGGTCTTTCACTATCCTCACAGTTCCATTTAGAATAAAGTTTTAGAACAACAAATATCACAGTGAATAAAAGTAATTATCAAATGATTTCTACTATACATAACGTTTCTCAAGAGGTAAAATACCCAGTTTGTATGGTCTAGACACTGGTTTCAGTGACAGCATTATAGGTTCTTTGAGCACCATCTGGTAACCCCTGAGCACAAATAAGAGTAAAACAGCAAGAAAATATATTTTTTTTCAAAATCACATCTTAGAAACAAACATGGACTACTATATCATCCTAATGGCATCTAAATTTGAAGGCATTTATAAAATCACCTTGAAATTTAGTCTATGTTCAAAGTAAAATTGGACTGTTCATTTTATAAACCATTACTCAGCATTTAGTCAGTGTTTGTCATACAGGGAGGTGCTGTCCCTGGAGTCCTAGAACATGGTGGGTTGGGGTAGATTTCCAGGGGGAGAAGAGTTTCTGTTTGGGGGTGTTTTGTTTTGTTTTGTTTCCTATAAGGGGGACTGAAAGTCAAATTTTGGAACATTTGCTTTAGGCAAATATTTATTTTTTGATTATTATTATTATTATTATTATTATTATCTTTGATTCTTTCACTTTGAGATTCTATTCTAGTCTTTTAAACTTTGTTTTCATATAACAAACTCCTAGCAGTTTAGAGATTAAACAAAGACAGAAATCCAAAAATAAAAATCTAAAGTCACCTTATCCTTTTACAGGTAATTAAAGCAAAGTTTTTGAATGAGATAGCATAGTAAGTTAAAAGAAGCTCTCTTGGGAATAAATATGTTTTTCACAACTGTTTCAAAGGTCACACAAATCTGCAAAGGCATGTTCTTAAATCTGTGCACAAAAATTAATCCATTATAATAATTTAAATAAGACAACTCTAGAAGAAGGGCATGAGTATATCTCACAAAAAGATAGGTAATATAGAAACTGAGATTAAAAAATGGCTTTTTTTTCAAATTTTGAAATTCACAAGATCAGGTTACATATCTCTCTTTCCTGTCATAAAAACAATCTTCAATTACAACCTCCACCCCTTCCTCAATTTCAAATGTGCACACAAAAACATATGAAACACAGAGTGATTTGATTTTGTATTAGAAAACTCATACATCCAGGACACCCGTGATTAAAATCTTTTCTGGTCCCCTGTAATAAAATTTCTATCCTCCAACACATCTGTTGGATAAGGAATCAGGTAAGTGATGCTTTCAAAATGCCAGGCTTCTACATTAATTTCCCACTTACAGTATCATTTATATGACCAAAGCTCAGAAACATGAAAATGTTCTGTTTTTCCCTTTATGATTCTTTAAGAAAAAATTTAATCATAAGATTGTACATTTTATACGAAACTTATTTTTGTATTTTACTATTTGTTTTTAATTAAGGTAATAGTAGTATATGCATTTTTACTGGTTTATATGTAATACAGTTTGACATATATATGTGGAATATTGGCTTATATGTTTAGGCATAGAATTTCACACTTTGCACAATACTTTAATACATCCACCATCAAAGTAACAATATACCTACAGAAAAGTCCACTGAATTCCCTCAATTTTCTAAACCTATTTCTTCCTCCCATACTAGTAATCACAAATGCCCTCTGAGTCTGGGGATTTGTTTTCACTTGTCCATTGTCTGTTCCGTTGCTTGCTTCTGCTTATCAAACATCTGTGTTATGTCTTTCTTCTTTTGATTTATTTCACTATGTCACCTCCATTTACTTGATACTGTTTCAAAAGGCAAGATTTTAAATATTTTTTGTTATTTAGGTTTATTTTATTCCAAAATTATAAATGTGTTGCATATAAAGAAAATCAATTCTAGTGAACACACATTCTAAACACAAATACTAGTGTGTCATGGTACATTTCAAATCTACCACTTGGTAAAGTTTACACAAGTTACTTCCAAGAATGAGAAATTAAAACACATGTTACGGGATGTAGAATAGGGAAAAAAGATATTTTTGGCTTAAAAGTCACGTTTTGGGGCAAAAAGTATAAGAAATAGTATGAAATAAAAAAAATTGTGGTTTTTGTCCCAGAATAATTAATTTCTTGAAAAAGTTTAACCATTTTTCTTAACTGCTTATAATAAAACCCCAGATATAATCCTCTCAAAAGCTCTCAGCATATTAATATCAAATAATATCCTTTAATCCTCTAACAATAGCTTTCTTTTAAAGGTATTTACAAATCTAGGTTCACACTACAAATATTCATTCTAAACTTGACAAGCATTTTATCTAATGTATTTAGCAAGTAACTTTAACGTTCTATTCTCACTTCACAGGTTATAATGTGTGAATATTAAACTTTGCCTTGAGTGTTATGAGAATTACTTATTTGATGTTTGTAAAGTTCTTTCCAGCTGCAAACAACTCCTGGGATGGGAGTATCTCTTAGGCTTATGCTACGTTTAGCATAAAAGTACTTTTAGCATATACTAAGTATAATGATTTGCAGTAGTATTAATTTTTAACATTTTGGTCAACTAGGCTACTGCATTAGACCACTTCCTCTGTGGCAATATTCCTCCATCATTAACCTTAGTTTTTTCCTGCCTTTTTATTAACTACTTAGTTGCATTTTATAGACTCTCTTTTGTAAGGAGAATCTCAGCATGTATTTTCAGCAGCAACTTTTGGTTACTTATTTTCTTTAAATTTCACGTGCATGAGATCATCTGTAAATCTCACATCACTAAACATAGGGCACATGCCAAGAACTTGGTTTAGTGTCAGTGTTCTTGCTTTATTGTGTGAAGCCTGGGTTTGATCTCCGGCACTGCAAAATAAATTAATAAGAGTAATAAAGATAATAATAATAATAATAATAATGATATCCTTCAGGTTCATCCATACAAAAATGCAAGATTTCAACTTTGCTTATAGCTCAATAGTCCTTCATTATATCAATAGCACACTTTCTTCATTCACTCCAGTAACACCCAAACCAAACAAAAATGCAGAATTTCAACTTTTCTTACATCTGAGTAGAATTGAATTATATATACTTATGTATTACAATTAATTTATTTCTCATATATTGATGAGCACTGGTTGGCTTCTGTATCTTGACACTTTATAACACTACAATAAACATTTGTGACAATTTCTGATAAAAATTTTTGTTCTCATTAAATAGATGTAAAGAAGTAAGTTGCTGTGTCATATAGTAGTTTTTTTTTTTTTAAAAAAGAGCTACATCCATACTGTTGTCAGCAATGTTACACCAGAAAACAGCCTTGCCAATGCATGTATAAATGGATTGTAGCAGAGAAAGATATGATATAATTGATATAATATAAAAGGTAAAGGCCCTCCCGTTGATCGTCGATTTGCTCGAGCGGGCCCAGTAACGTCTCCATTGGAGACTTTGTTGTTACTGTGTCTGGCATATCGAATACTCTCGGTAGCTTGCCGGGCTCTCCGAGAGGGGCGGAGGAATCGAACTCGGGTCGGCCATGTTGGCCGCTTGTAAGGCGAACGCCCTACCCGCTGTGCTATCACTCCAGCCCATTTATATCATATATTATATCATCCCACTTCTGACACATGATATAATATATATCTATATAATATATAATATATAATATGATATAATATAATATGATATAATATATAATATGATATAATATAATGATATAATATATAATATGATATAATAATAAAGATATAATATAAGTCAATCATGTCAATAACTCAAATCGATTTTTTAGAATATGGTTTATTGGTTCCAAATTCAAATTTGCATGGTTAATTTTGTTATTTTTTTAAATTGGTTTTGGGATCACACCCAATGCTCAGGGATTACTCCTGATTCTGGACCCAGAAATTGCTCCTGGAAGTCCTCAGGAGTAGAACTGCTGTAGGTCAAACCCATGTTAACTGCATGCAAGAGAAATGTCCTATTCACTGTACTGTTTCTCAAGACCCTACTTTTAAATATTTACTACTACTAGAGAAATTAGTACAGGGGTTAAGACATTTGCCTTTCTTATGGTATACAGACACTGGCTGGGCACTACCATAGTGATTCCTAAACACAGAGTCAGAGAGGCAAAGAACCAGTATCCTGAGCACAGCCAATTATGGCCCCACAGCAAAAAAACAAACAAACAAACAAACAAACTCATGCTAATGTATGACCTAGCATTGTAATGCTCTTTTTAATTACTATATCATCTAGAAAAAAGCATAACATTAATAAAATTAAATGAAATTCAAATCCAATGACATTAAAATTCCATGTATACTTGAATAGCTTGGAAAATTATTGACATATTTAGTTTATTTATGTCAATAATATTTTTTTAATTTATTTTTTATTTTAAGTGAAACACCATGAGGTACAGTTGTAGATTTACAATTTTTTGTGCTTGGGTTTCGATTATACAATGATCAAATACCCATCCCTCCACCAGTGCCCATTTTCCACCACCATGGATAATATCCCTCCCACCTCCATCCCCCCATCCCCCCTGTCTCTGTGGCAGGGCAATCCCCTGTGTTCTCTCTCTCCTTTTGAGTGTTGTGGTCTTCAAAAGAGGCTTTGAGTGGCAAACATGTTCAGTCCATAGTCTACTTTCAACATGAATCTCCCCTCCTGGGAGGATCCTCCAAACACCCTTTATTTACCAATGTTTACATCAAGGATTTTGGAGAAGACATGGATGATGAGCGCTTTAAGGATCTCTTTGGCAAGTTTGGGCCTGCCTTAAGTGTGAAAGTAATGACGGATGAAAGTGGAAAATCCAAAGGTTTTGGATTTGTAAGCTTCGAAAGGCATGAAGATGCTCAGAAGGCTGTGGATGAGATGAATGGAAAGGAGCTCAATGAAAAACAGATTTATGTTGGTCGACCTCAGAAAAAAGTGGACCGGCAGACAGAGCTTAAGCGCAAATTTGAACAGATGAAGCAGGACAGGATCACCAGATACCAGGGTGTTAACCTTTATGTGAAAAATCTTGACGATGGCATTGATGATGAACGTCTTCGGAAAGAGTTTTCTCCATTTGGTACAATCACCAGTGCAAAGGTTATGATGGAGGGTGGTCGCAGCAAAGGGTTTGGTTTTGTATGTTTCTCCTCCCCAGAAGAAGCCACTAAAGCAGTTACAGAAATGAACGGTAGAATTGTGGCCACCAAGCCATTGTATGTAGCTTTAGCTCAGCGCAAAGAAGAGCGCCAGGCTCACCTGACCAACCAGTACATGCAGAGAATGGCGAGTGTGCGAGCCGTGCCCAACCCCGTTATCAACCCCTACCAGCCAGCACCTCCTTCAGCGTACTTCATGGCAGCTATCCCACAGACTCAGAACCGTGCTGCGTACTATCCTCCTAGCCAAATCCCTCAACTAAGACCAAGTCCGCGCTGGACTGCTCAGGGTGCCAGACCTCATCCATTCCAAAAGATGCCCGGTGCTATACGCCCAGCCGCTCCTAGACCGCCATTTAGTACGATGAGACCAGCTTCTGCCCAGGGTCCACGAGTCATGTCCACGCAACGTGTTGCTAACACATCAACACAAACAATGGGTCCTCGTCCTGCAGCTGCGGCTGCTGCCGCAACTCCTGCTGTCCGCACCGTTCCACAGTATAAGTACGCCGCAGGTGTGCGCAACCCTCAGCATCATCTGAACGCACAGCCACAGGTGACCATGCAGCAGCCTGCTGTTCATGTACAAGGCCAGGAGCCTTTGACTGCTTCCATGTTGGCATCTGCCCCTCCTCAGCAGCAAAAGCAAATGTTGGTTGAACGGCTCTTTCCTCTTATTCAGGCCATGCACCCTACTCTTGCTGGTAAAATCACTGGCATGTTGTTGGAGATTGATAATTCAGAACTTCTTCATATGCTTGAGTCTCCGGAGTCTCTTCGTTCTAAAGTTGATGAAGCTGTAGCTGTACTACAAGCCCACCAAGCTAAAGAGGCTGCCCAGAAAGCCGTGAACAGTGCCACCACCGGTGTTCCAACTGTTTAAAATTGATCAGGGACCACGAAAGGAAACTCGTGCTTCACCGAAGAAAAATATCTAAACATCGAAAAACTTAAATATTATGAAAAAAATTGCAAAATATAAAATAAATAAAAAAAGGAAAGGAAACTTTGAACTTTATGTACCGAGCAAATGCCAGGTCTAGCAAACCGCTAGGCCTAGATTACTTCTGACTTAAAAACAACAACAACAACAAAAAAATAGTAAAATATAAAAACAAATCAATGTTTTATAGACCCTGGGAAAAAGAATTTTAAGCAACGTACAAAAATTTAAAGCATTTCTTGCTTTAATTTTGTAATTCTTTACTGTGGAATAGCTCAGAATGTCAAATAGTTTTGTTTTTAATAACAGAATTGATAACTGAGCAAGTAAACGTAATTTGGATTATAAAATTCTTGCTTTAGTAAAAATTACTTAAACAGTGAAAAAAATATGTCAATATTTTTTAGTGAGTTGATAAAATAAATGGTTGTAAAATTTATTAAACTTTTATAGTTATTGTTTTTAGGATAATCTTTAGTGTGGAGCCTATAATACTAACATCACTGCACTCTAAAAATAATTAACATAAAAATCTAGTTTTAAAGTACTTAGCTCTCCAGTTTGGGGAGGTGATAAATAGTATTAACATAATTACATCTGGAAAGAGTAACATTCTATGCCTAAATTTAATGTTTACGTTTAAAAAACACATGGATAAAGTAAAAATAATGACTAGAATTAATAGTGCTGCATTTTACAGATGAAAAAAGCTTCTTCCTAATTCTCTGTAAACTTAACAAAAAGTCGTTTATTTCATTTAAATTTATTTGTGTGAGAAAACGAATGCTATTTAAACCATTATAAATACATGACTATGCTGAATGTCTTAAAATAATATATGACAAATATTTCTCAGCAAAATGTGAAAAATGAGAATCATTAAGCACTTTTGTTATGATTACAGTAAATTAATTCCAATTAATTTTAAAAGGAAATAATGAGAATTTAAAAGGTAAGATTCAATTTAAAAATCTGTTGATCTAATTCTAGTTTAGGAAATATCCCCAACTTTGTAATTGCGAAACCTCTTGCTTTATGTTTGCCCACTCTAATGTAAAGTGCTTGTACTGGCAATAAAATTAATAAAAAGATATTATACAGTTTTATGAAAATATCATGTTTTATAATTTTTTACTAACTACATTCTTCAGAAATAATTAGTAGAGTTATCACATCATATCTTAACTAAAAATTTAAAAATTTTAAACCTTACCTATTTTATTTTATATATTTTCTTATCAAGACCGAGTTTTTCTCATCTTTATGTATATTTCAACAGGATATGTCTTTATTTTTAAGATATAAATGATATATAATGAGACCAAAACTCTTGACAACTAAACCCTTTTTCTGGGATTAAACTCAAATACATGAGATTTTTCTTAGAGACTTTTATTAGTGTTTTGTTAGTTGAGTTGAATTTTTTGTATTTCATAGTTGATAAATTAATTTTAATAAATTGCATGCATATTTGTTTTATATGATCTTTGCCATTTTTTCCTGGTTGGTGAATGTTGTTTACTTTCTTTAGTCATCACGATTTACAAATTTACGATCCTATTAAGTCTAGGGTTCATAAATGCAACATTTCAACACCAAACCCACCATCAGGTTGTCTGTTTACCTTCACTATTTTGTCTGGTCCTTCACTCATTTCCCATCTACCTATACCCTGCCTCACACTCCCACATCACCACTATATACAACTACCCTGGAAAGCTCCAACTGGTAGACCATTTCCTATATTCTGCAGCTCTGAGCCATCTGTTGTCACCATATAATGGATTTTTGTATCCCATATATGAGAGAGATTATTCTGTATCTTTCTCTGTCCTCTGGCTGTATTCACTCAGCATTATACCTACCAGTTACATCCATGTAGTGACAAATTGCATCATTTCATATTCTCTTATAGCCAAGTATTCCATTGTGCATATAAATCATAGTTTCTTTATACACACATCTGTTTTTGGGCATTTGGTTATTTCCAGATTTGGGCTGTTGTGAATAGTGCTATAATCAACATTGGAGTACAGATGTTTTTCTAACAGTGTTTTTCAGAACAGACTTTCTTAATCTTTTGATTCTCTAAATGGATCATGGTTTCGTGTCTTTACTAATATCTCCATAATTTGCATCACAAATATTTACTACCATTGTTTTTTATAAATGTTAACTTAAAGTATTATTCTTCTATGTTATATGAGTCACTTTATATTAATTTTATATATAGTGTGAAATATATGTTATACAAAGTAATGTTAAATGCATTAAATATATATAATATATATTAAAGCACAAATATTTGAAAAACGTTACACAACTGCTCGGGCATAATTTGCTAATTTTCTCTAACAGTTCTTGTTCTATCTTTTACAAATATCAATTTTATAGATTTTTATAGACTATTAAATATGCTAATATAAAACTAGTATCAACTATTCTCTTGATATACTTGTTTTATGGTAGTCAAAATATATAAAACAGTAGATGTACATTTCAAACTTATTCTGTTTAAAAGTCATGAATATTTTGAGGATTTAATTTTTAGTAATGACTTTTTCTAAATTTTATAATCACATTTAGACCTTCTGAAAAAATTCCAGTTGCAGATTTTATGGGATTGACTAGAATGCATCAGTGAAATTGTAAAGAATTAATATGTTAGCAACATGCTTCCCGATACATTTAAAAATCTCTTTCTTAGGGCTGGAGAAATGCAACAGTGACTAAACCCCTTTCCTTGCAAGCAGCTGATCTGGGTTTGACCCTTACCACTCTATTTGTTTCCCTCTGCACTGCAAGGAGTAATTCCTGAGTGTAGAGTCAGGAGTAAGCATTGAACACTATCATGTGTGGCCCCCAAACAACAAACAAATAAAAACATTATTTCAGTCTAGTTAAATTGCATTCAATAATATTTTATTCCTTTCAGTGGATGAATGATGTATTATCTCCAAAATCTTTTACAAAATTTATTCCTAAGTGTTCTATAGCTTTGATGTAATAATAAATGGTTTTTAATTTAAAATTTCAGTTAGTAGTAGATGTGATTTAGATAGTATTTGGTAATAGTATGTTAGGGAGTAAAGGGGATAATGTTTTCACATTGACATTTTAGTAAGTGAAAAAATTCTATTTTTTATTCTGAGTTCTTAATTTGAGACCTCTAATGAAAGACCGAGTAAACAAAGCATAACAGGCAGGATCATACTGACATGCATCCATTATGTAGATCTGTGACTTACCCATTGAATATACATACCACAAAAAGGAGTCTTTAGTATTCAGCTTTATTTATTTATTCTTTTTCTAAATTTTTTGTATGGTATGTGCCCAAACTAATATCCACTATATTTATTATATTTATAGCTTTTTTGGATCACAACCGGCGATACTCAGGGGTCACTCCTGGTTCTGCACTCAGGAATTACTCCTGGCAGTGCTCAGGGGACCATATGGGATGCTGGGAATAGAACCCAGGTCGGCAGCGTGCCAGCCAAATGCCCTACCCACTGTGCTATCGCTCCAGCCCCTAGTATTCAGATTTAAATATCAGCTACAGAAAGCTAGGAAACACAGATCCCTTAAAAAATGTATCTCTTAGTGACAACATTTTTATTGGTTTAGTTTTAACTTATAATGTTCTCCTGAGACAGAGGTCTAATTTTAAATTGATGAAATTTTAGGTAAGGATCTATGACTGTTGAAATTCTTTTTGGGGCTTGTCATTAAGCAGATAAGAGAGTTTAGAAAGTGTCACTCAATAGATTTACTAAATTTAAAGCTCCTATAATTCAAAATAATCCATAGACTAATGTGGCATGTTTTGGTTTTGGCACATTTTTATAACCTTGGACTTTAATATGTCAAGTTTTTTTCTAAACTCTAAAGCAGAAAGTCATATAATCTTCATATACATGGTGGGATTGGAGGACCAGATGGGTGGTGATGTTACTCTGAGAATGCATATGAGGTCATCATTTCTCACAAATGACAACATGTAACTGGTCAGTAGCAGTCTTAATAGTAAAAGACACGAGCGTCCGGACTGGTAATTAAGATCAGGAAAAACATTGCTGTGATCAGATGCAAGACAAGAACTGAAGTGTGGATTAGAAGCAACATGAATCAGTGCAGGCAGAATATGAAAGGATATTTGTGCAAATTGAAGGCAATATCATTCAGAATATGAGCATTTTTTTTGATTTGTTGGTATACTTAACTACTATTATAATGGTTTTATAATTACAATAACAATGAAGATAATATAAAGATCATATGTTACTTAGTACTTTGTTTGCCTAGTCATGTTCACTTTTTTAGGGAAGATTCAAATTGTCTTAGTAAACATACCATTTCTTCTGAAAAGTGGATAATACTATGTAAGTTGAAAGTGTACTGTGTATTCAGAATAACAAAAAAGAAAAGTGCACACTCATAAAGGGAAATAATAATGAAATATATTCTAAAAAAAGTTACATGTGTAACATGGGAATATGGTACCATCCAGCAGGTCAATCTATACCTGTGGGGAAAGTACATCAGCACCCTGTTGGTGCCTTCAGACTTGCTGATACCCCCAAATTGCCACTGTGCCTCTGACAGAAACCTAACAAATCGGGACCAAGTTTCCCAAGAAATTAAATGGCCAAAAGTTATGTATATGGGAGTCTCACTAACAAACCATCTCCAGCTCAGCTATACAAGCTAATCTATTTATTTTTTTTTAATTTTTTAAATTGAATCACCGTGAGCTACAGTTACAAAGCTTTCATGTTTGTTTCAGTCATACAATAATCAAACACTGATCCCTCCACCAGTGTACATTTTGCACCACCAATGTCCCCAGTATCCCCCTCCCCATCCCACCTCTCCCCCTGCTTCTATGGCAGACAATTACTCTCTTACTCTCTCTATTTATGGACACTATGGTTTGCAATACAGATAATGAGAGGGCATCATGTTTGGTCCTTTATCTACTTTCAGCACACATCTCCCATTCCGAATGATCCCTCCAAGCATCATTGACTTATTGATTCTTCTCTATCCCAGCTGCCTTCTCCCCTAGCTCATAAGGCAGGCTTCCAACCATGGAGCAATCTTCCTGGACCTTGTCTCTACTTTTCTTGAGTAGATAAGCTCATTTATTGGTCTTGCTTCAGAGACCCATAAGTAAACCTCAAAAGAGATCAAAATTTGGCTATTTAAGTGCATTAATGGCCATGATTCAGAGACTCACAAATGAAACTCAGAGGAGAGCAGAA